CCCCCCCCCCCCCCCCCCCCCCCCACACACACACACACACAAACACACCCAACCATCACCCTCACTGGTGACTTGTGATGCTCGCTGGGGAAACAAGGCGAGGCCAAGCGGAGGCTTTTGGGTCATTTGCGCAATGATGGACAATTTTTTTTGGAAAAACAGACACAGCTTTTTTTTTTTTTTTTTAATGAAGAGCAGTAAATGTAAAAACATAAAAGGTCTGCAACAAGTTTGAACATTTGCGCCGCCAGAGAGTTTCAATGGCAAGTTTTTTTTTTTTTTTTGCTTTTGCAATTCCACTTTCATTTTCAGGGAAACGTTTGGCCTTTGCCCCCCCCCCCCCCCCCCCCCCCCCCCCCGCTTGTACACCTCCCCCCTCCCAACCAGTTTGTCCAGATACAGGGCCCGCCGCCGTTGGAGCGAGGCACCTGCTGCTACTGCTGCCGCCGCCTCGCACTTCCTGCTTGCGCTCCGGCGGGCCTTCGCCATCTCGTTTGCCTGCAGTGTTGACAGACGCCGCATTCCTCCTTTTCATCGGAGCTTCGCAACACAAACGATGACGCGCCGTCAGCCGAGACGCTCTCCCCCCCCCCCCTCACTTGCTGGGGCTGTTTCTTTTCCAATGATTCTATTTTGGCTCAACCTGACATGTCAGAAGACCTTCAAGAATTTGCAAACAGACAATCAGACAAAGGATACGCAATGTGTCGATTTTGCTCTCTCCGTGATGTCAGCGCGTCGCTAACTTCAACGCTCCGTTTTTGCGCCCGCGCCGTTGGCCGGGGCTGAAAAAACTCTGGCTTTAAAATGGCTCAATATCACCGTAGCGAGAACCCCGTTTCTCGAATTTTGATGCCACAGACGTGTCGTTGAGAGCGCTGAGAAATCCCCCAAAAATCACATTTCAAAAAACCGATGCAGTTCTTTGAACGCACTTGTCCTGTTCAACCTCAAGCAGTGATTTGGGTCACATCCACGCGCGGCAAATTCTGAACTGCGGAGAGAAAAACTATGTTGCAATCAAAAGCCGCTGGCCGCCCGCAGTCAAAAGACTCCCAGCTCTCGCCCGGCGCGAAGTCCGTCTGACCCGGGACGCGACGGCGGCGCTGGCGCGGCTCAGCCAAAGAGGCGCAACCCACCTGGGGTGCCGCTTTGCCTCTCCGCTTTCCTCGTCATCCATCCTCTCCGCCAAGTCATCCGCCCGCGTCGGAAAGTTCCGCAACATTCCGGTCGGAGTGCTTCGTTCGGTCCAAGTCGGCGGCAAGTCGCAACGCATTTCGCGTCGGGCAAGTCGAGTCGAGAAGGACGAGCGTCAGCGGCAAAAAGTTGGTTGATTTTCTAATCGCGCGTTGGCGACTCGGGATTTGGAGGATGGGAATCGGAGCTCGCAAAGCGCTGTGCACTTTTTGCTTGAGTTTACGGGTGGAAGGAAGCAGAGTGAAGGAAGGAAGGAAGGAAGGAAACAAGGGCGTAAGTCAGGGAAGACAAGAAGAGAGAAAGACAGAAGGACAACCCAACGTTTGGGGGGGGGGGGGGTCTGCCAGGGCCGCACACGCACTCAAGGCCGCACCTGGCCTTGAAAGCCCAATTTGAACTCTTCAACCCAGTTTCAACTTGAAACTGCGCTCGGAAACCTCGTGCTTTCATGCGTGTGAGGTTTTGTTTTTTTTTTTTGCAGGGGGG